TTTCCAGCCTAAAAATTTTGTATACTTATGCAGAAGGAGAACATTTTGGAGAATTTGATTGTTTTCTGATATATAACATATTAAATTCAAAACTATTTTATTAATGTTACTCTTCCATTGCCTTATAAATTTGGATCGCCTAATCAAATGCCCTTGAAATCTAAAACAATAAATTAAAAAATTTTTTGAATCGATTATCCTTTACAGAAATTAACTGTTAACTGTTATTTTTGGCCAAGAAGGTAATTTGTTTCTCTAAAGAATTATTAAGATTTAAGTCTTAAAAAGTTCTAAAGTGAACTGAAATATTTTATGTATATGCTAAATAGCAAACCACTGTATCCCACCCTACCTTACTTTATTATTACAATAAATTTAGCTGTTAAGTTACATTTTTTAGTAATTGCTTTTCCTTTTTTATCCAATTAACCTGTTTAATTTTCTGGAAGACTATTTTAAGTTTTTTTTATGATTGAAACTAAACTAATAACTCTGTAACACCAGCCTAATTGTTTAATTACTAACTATAATTACTATAATAATAACTATAATTACTCAACAATTAATTTATTTTATGTTATATAATAACAACATTAAACAATTAAACATACTATAAAACCTAATTCTAATTGCATCCTAAATAATAAAACAGTAAATGGAAATTTATTCGAACAGTGGCTCCTAATTCTCAGCTTGGCTTCTTTTTCATCGCCTGACTTTCTCCTCCCGTCTTCCAAATGAGCAAGGTTGTCGCCAGCACTCCATGTTGCAGCCAATCTTATTGCATGACGGTTCTAGAGCTGAGAAGTAGAGCTATGAGTTACTCTTGGGGATACATTGATTGCATTGGAACAGTTCATGTGAAACTAAAGTTGACAAATATTTTTGGAATATCTATTGGTTTTTCACTTTAATTAAAAAACCACTTTTTAATCTGTATTATTTTCTGTATAGACACTTTAAATCAGTTTCTACCATTTTTATAAGTTGATATATGGTGCAAAGGGACAAAAACATTCAAACAAAAGGAACTTTCTTGAAACTTTTATCAGTTAAATGTTGGAAAGAAATTGTTTACTTGTAGGAATAACGATACGTTTCTCGATATTGATTGCAATAAAAGATTCCTACATACTGTGTGCTTGGCTTTCCAAGCATTGACTCAGGTAAAAAAAAATATCTTGTGCATATTTTATTTGTGAGAAAAATTTTCTTGCATATTGAAATAATCTGTTCACATTTTATATTATGTATTTTTTTTAATTATATGAAAATGGTGCGTTATATTTTGTAATTTATATTTAATGTATTTTTTGTTGAATTGTACTAATAATACAAAAGTAAAAAAGTCAAAGTGAATGAAAAAAATTTTGACCAAAGGCAATATTTAAACTTTAGGTGCTGGGATTTAGAGAGTAAAAGTATTGCTGATCCACACTTTGTCATAAATGAAATAATTTTTTTTCAATATAAAAGAAGAAAGCGCGCAAAAAGAGCGCGAGAGGAAAGTTTAACAAATATAGATTTTCTTATTATTATGCCTGTTTTTTATTTAACTAAAAATTAGTTTTGTTTAAATCTTCTTAAAAAATATTGAATTTCATATATTTTTTTTCATAGTTTCATATTTTTTATTCTTAGGCAATACGAAGCAAATAGAAGAAAAGATAATGGTTATCAAAGAAATATACATGCACTTGAAAAGAAATAATGCTTTCATAAAAGAATTTAGCAGCAGAACACATTTATTAAAACTGTTATTTAAACTCTTAAATTCTAATGTCCCTGATTTAAGTATAAAAATTATTGGCATTTTATTAAAGGTGAGTTCTTATATTTGCTATTTTGATGATGTTTTTGTCTTAATTATTTCAGTGTAAAATTATAATTACTGTAAAATTTTTATAGATGTTATTTGTTTTTGAAATTACTTTACCTGTAGTTCAAATAGTTTGTGAACATAAGTTTAAAGCAATGATTTATTTCAAAAAGCAATTCATTTGTTTGCAAAAGCATTATTTATAAGTGCTAAATACATTTATGTTTTATGTCAAGTCACACTCTTGAATCACACTATAAAATGTCAAGTCACAATAGAAAATGTTTTATGTTATTTTGAAAAAATTACTTTTGATGTTTTTAAAATTTATTTATTTTTGCTTAAGATAATTTAGAATTTGAATTCTTAATGCTATTCTTAGCTTAAAAATCTACAAATTTTATAATTTATAAGATGTTTAAACGTTTGAGAACAAAAGTCTTTTTTAAAAAGTACTTGGGTTCTTGGGAAAAAAACTATTGTTATCACAAGTTCTGCTATGTCAATTTATATAGCTTTTAGCAGCTTTAGTTTATTTTTGACTCTAAACTTTTTTTGTTATTGTCATTACAATTTTAGTTAAATAAAACTCTTATAATTAACTCTATATGGTAGCTAAACTTACAAGACAGCAAAATCACAAAATTTCGAGTTCATCTTTATTCAATGTGTAAGTTCTTGAAGCAAACTTTTTCTATTGACTGAGTATACTTATTTTATTTTCGGATTCAAGATAGGTTTTTATTGTTTAATTTATTGTTTATATCTTATGGCGTAATAAAGTGTCAAAAACTAGTAGTTAGAATTGTGTGTACGATTTCTATGGCGAAATATTAATTTTTAGGTTAAAGCTGTTATGCAATTGCTCCATTATGCAAGCAAATAGATAATAGTATTTTTGAGTTATTTTATCTAGATTAACTTTTCTGTTTTCATACGCTTTTTTAATTTATAATAAAATTTTAGATACTTAATTTCATTATTTCCAAAAACCACAAAATTATTTTCTGAAATTTTTTTTCTTCACAGTTATTATTAATTGCAAAAATATATTCAGAGAATGCTTGAATATTATTTAAGCATCTAAAGGAAGAAGGGTTATATGATTTGCTTAATTTTTCTGACAAGGAAAGAGAGGCATGATCAATGTTCCTTTAAGACACCAAAATCTTCTTGTTTTCAGATTTTTTTTTAAAATATTAAAAAATGAAATGATAATGTTTGAAAAAAATTAAGCTGGGTAAAATCTAAAATAAATTAGGGAAAAAAAAAGTTGTCGAAAAATTTTGCCAAAATTTTATGAAACAAAATGCGCATTTTTTAATGCAAAGTTTCATCTTTTATTTGAGTATAATTCTGAAACTCTTAAAATTAGATTTCTACACTAAAAGTCAAAGTTGAAGCAAAAAAGGGGGTGTTGCAGCAACTTTTTCACACATGCATGTACTTTTTATTTTTGCTTTGAGTTCAAAACTGCCAAAAACATGCATACCTAATCTTTTAAAAAATCTTTATGATTTCTTAAGTAATCAATATCTATTCTTTCCCTTTGAAAACCTTATAATTTTAATAAGGGTACCTCTTTTCTTATTTACTAACATCAAAGTTTTCACTGCAAACGTTTTTCCTTCTTTTAAAAATAAATAAATTTTCTTAAAAAGTGTATCATTTTATATTGTATGCTTTTAAAATTTTTTTTCTTAAATTATGAAAATTTAATTACTTTACTTTTATCGATCTATCTAAGATATGCATATATATATTTATTCCACTCTTTTTTCATGATTTCAGAAGTGTAATATTATTAACAATCCGTATAATAGTACTATTTGCCTCTATGTATTTGGATACTTCTTTTTATGTTCAACTTTTGTTTTGTAAATTTGCTTTAACACTTTTTTTGATGATATTTTAGTTATTTAAAGTATTATTTAAAGTAGTTTTTTAAAGTATTTTAAGTGTGTTCTTAATAATAAATCGCTGCTTTTTAATTAAGAAAAAACTAGTAAAATCCAAAACTAAGTTATATATTTACTTTCAAATTATTTTTTTTTATAAAACACTCATAAATGTGCATATTTAAACAAAACAATAAGTTTTTGCTATAAACAGTCTCAATAAATATATAATTAATAAGTTGAAAATTAAATACTCCGATAAAAATTTAAATTTGTGTGCACAATTTTCTTTCATAGTTGTTTCCTTGTTATTATTAAATATCAAGAAAAAAACAAATTTTCTCACCTTTTAGAAAAGATGTTAATAAGTATTTTTTGTTGAGAGATTTTTAGAAATTTGCTATATATCTAAATGCATAATACAAAGAGATATTACTATATCCTCTTTTATAAAGCAAAAGTGTCTATATACTACTGTTATATAATAATATATATGTGTTTTTTTCCTTTTCGTTATAGATGAAAGTGAAAGATAACAATTTGACAAATATCTTTAGATTAGCTTTTAAACTAATGAAAGAAGATTGTTGGTCAAAATATGATGATGACCAAGTAATTGGTAAGAATTTTAATCTAAGAAAAATTTTTATATTTTGATAAAGATACCCATCTAATTATAAAGATATATATAATATATGTATTTAAATTCATTTGGCTCAATTCAAATATTTTAAATGGCGATTAAGGAAAAGTTTAGCTTATTTGAGGTTAAATGTTAATGAAAATCTGCATTTGTTGTAATGTTTTGAAAATATTTTTAGTTTATTTTTAAATTTTTCCTCTAAGTTTTTAGTATTGTATGAGTTTTTTAGTACTTTATTTTGAACATGTTTGTATTATAATTGCAAGTTTAATGTAAGCAAATATGTATATTATATTCATTTTTTAGACATAATCCTTGAAAGTATGAATGATATATCCATCGCAACTAACAAAGGAGCAACTATATATTGTTTAAAAATTTTGAAACAAATAATATGTTCAGAGGACTTGAACTGTGGACTGGTTGAAAAGTGCATAATTGTTATATGCCATCATTTAAAAGAAATAAATCATTATGTGAGTATTTTTATAAATTTATAATTTATTTGCTTATACTTTCTGTACTGTTTGAATTATCCCTCTATATATAAAAATCTGTCTGTATGGATGTTTGATAATAACTCTGGAGCAGAAGCGCCAATTTGGATCGTGTTTTATTTTTCTGTAGTTTGCAAATTTTTATGGGGTGGTTTGTAAACAATTCTCACTTTCTGGAGAAGTGAAATTCATGCAAAATATGACATTTTATTGTTTAAATCCACCACCACACCAGTTTTCTAATATCTTTCTAATGGCTTTGCTAATTGGCTCAGCGTTTTTTTTTTTACAGATTGCGATTTTTTCGATAATTTTAAGATATTTTCTATCTTACTACATTTTGGTTTTGATGAAAATAGTTGATAAGATTTTACACCAGTACCTAAATGTCTCAAAAAATCAATCGCCTACATATTTTTCCTTTATTTTCCGGTAAGTACCAAAATATTTGTATTCTGAAAGGCAAGAGGTTAAACACCTGAATGCATGAAATGTACATAAATTATATATTCGAGTACTCACATTTAAGACTTTGATTAGTTGAACATAACTCTTGGGTCTCAATGTTAAGAAAAAGAAACCTTTTATCAGTAAAAAATCTTTCGTTTAAGCTTTAAAAGAATTAAAAAAAATAGTTAGCAAACAAAAGTGTCATTTTGACTATCAATTAAACGTGTAACTTAAACCTTAAAAAAGTAGAGTCTAACCAATTATAAAAAAAGGATTTATCAAAAAATGTATACAGTTTTGATAATTTAGGTAAGAAGATGCATGCTATACTGTCTCAAATTTTCAATGTACGCTTTTAACAATTCACATAGTGAAAGAATATAGACACATATAGAATTTGTGGCTTAAAACTTATATTGACAAGATTTGTTATATTTTAGATGTATCAATTTTTTTTCTTAACTTCTTGTCTTATCTTTTTCAGTTTTGTATGGCAAATGAATGGGATTATAACAGTAATCAAATCATCATCCAGGTATAACAGATTTTTTCATATGTTTAAATTCGAGTTTTATAACAGATTTTGTGATATATTTTTGGTATAAACAATGATAGATACAAACAGTTATATTTTTCATAGTTCTTGATGCTTCTACATTGTTCAGCTGGAAATGAGAAAACTAGAGGAATCTTAATTAAGTGTGACTCTCTGCATCAGGTATTGAAAACACTTCACAGTTTTTATGAACATGCTGACATAGTTCAAATAGCAGTAAGATTTATCAGGTATATTTGCAGTTTTTCATGTACATATTATTTCACTTATGTCTTTATTAATATTTTTAAAAGGATTACGTTCTTTCTAACCTTGCTATTTCAAAAGCCTTTTTTAGAATTCTTCAATGATGCATTATCTAGATCAGTGATTCTTACCCTTTTCATGCCTAAGGACTCTTAGATGCCTCTTTGAATATTTCGAAATAAAATTGTTAAAATAATCGTAAAATTATTTGAAACTGATCACAAAAAAATTAAATCATAATTGTTTTTATTCAAGGTCAGCACTTTCACTAATTTGTTAAGACAAAGACCCTATTTGTCAGTTAGATATAAGTGAAGATTAAATAAATGTAGATCATAATGCGTACAAAAAAATCAATAATTTAAAATGTTTTTTTGTCATAATGATTTTCATTTATTATTTATATGCACAACTACTTGTTTAATATGTGTTAAAAGCATTTGAATTTACGTGAACATAAAACTGTAAAACTAAATATAAACTTAACATAAACTAGACATCTTATTGAAATGTTTTAAATTACTAGCAAATATTTTTTATACATAGTGGAAAGTTATAATTTAAAAGTTTCATGTAATTTTTATCTTATATATGGTCTTCATTTACGTCAATTTTGAATATTAAGTAATACATTATTTGCTCATTATTTTTTCAATTAAAACCTTCAATTTCAATGAATCAGTCAATTAGACTTAAATATATTCTTCAGATAATAATTTTTTTTAAGTCAAGGCAGACTTAAAAAGTATAATTACTCATCGTTCCTAATTAACAAAAAATTTAATTTAATTTTGATTTGTTTCTTTGATATCTTATTTTTGAAATAGTTTTCTAGCAGTTAAATTTTTCCTTGGTTAGCATTCTGAAATATCATCTATATATATGAAATTTTTTAACTACTTATTTTAAATATTCATCACGCCACGTAATGCTAAATAGAGTTAATCTCAATTCTGATTGAATGAACTACAAGAAACGTGTTTGCTTAAAATAATTACGTAAAGTCACCCGGAAGGAAAGCAAATAATAATAATAAAAAATAAATTATTTTAGCTTTGTTAATTGAAAAGCTTTGTGGAAAAACCAGGTAAGTGACATTTTCAAAGGAGCTATAATCGTTGTAAGAAGAAAGTGGTCACCCAGCAGTTTTATTATCGATTTATTGGAGACGGTAGACAAATAATTCCTCAATTTATTTTATTTACCAATGCCTAATTTAAAAAAAATAATAATATTGATGGAACCTGCCATTTTTACTGATTCATATAAATAAACCTAAGAATGTCACTTACCTGGTTTTTTACTAAACTTTTTGACTGTTTTGGCATATGCCTTTTAGTTTTCTGCTTGATTTATGAGTGTTGTTTAGTACAGGTTAATTGATTTTTTTTATTCACCACTTAAGAAAAACAGGTATTCAGCTAGTTCTCAAACAAAAATGGACAATGTTTTTCATATTTAATTTAATAAAATAATTCAATAAATTTTCTAGAAATAAACTGTTATAGTAATTTCTCATGTTCTTTTAATTAAGTAAAAAACAATGATATGATATTAAAACTATGATGAAATGATATTAAAACTAGCTTATTATCGTAGCAAATTTCTAGATACTGAAGGTAGCAAAGTTTTAAAACTAATTATTANTTTTTTTTCTTCAAAGAAGCTTATTTACTGAAAATATTCAATAATTGTTTTAATGCGTTATTTGAATAAAAAGTTTTTCCAAATGATTGTTTTTTGAATTAAAAAATTAAGGTGTTAAATCTAGTTATTTTGAAAACATTATTTTTTGAAGTATGAATCTTTTAGCATTTTATTTTAAATTATTTTTCTTTAAGTACTATTAACTTATAAAGTCTATGGAAAGCAACTATGATATTGTTTGTTTGCTTAAAAGTGCTCTCTCTCTCTCTCTCTCTCTCTCTCTCCTGTATTTTCAATAAATAGTATTTATGTGTAGAAAATATTAAAAAAAGAATATTTTGGAAAAGTTAATTCTATTACACAAAAGTGATTTCTATTATACAATCAATTAAAGAGATACATACTTTTTAGAATGCTAAGTTTCTCATTTATAAAAAAAGATATTTAAGTATTCATTTTATTTCTAAAATGGTTTTAATAAATTCCTGCAGGACATTGCATTGCAAGTGACTTTTATTATTGGGAATTTGGTATCTGCAAATGATAAAACAGCATTTATCTTCCTAAAGTCACCTAATTTTATAAACATCATGGTTGAAGTTTTAGATGTCTATGTTAATGAGCATATTCAAGTATGATTATATTTATTTTTACTTTTAATACTGTTTTTTATATTTGTGGTACTTATTTTATTTTTGAATGTTTCATTCACTGGTATTAAATTTATTTATAATAGTATGAAATGTTCAGCAAAAATTGTTTGGTTTTTGAATTAAAATTTTCAATTTATTTTTACATCACTTTGCTTGAGTTCAGAAAATAACTAAAGCATTTGAAACTAAACAAAGCTATATATTATTGTTTATATGTATTTAATCTTAAACCATGCTACTAAAAAACTTGATTGCTGAAACTGAAAAAATGTACTTGATAATTCATTTTCAAGCATATTAATAAATTACTGTATGAAAGTTTAACATTGTAATGCTGAAAATTTTAACAAATTTTATTTATTTAATTTTATACTTTCTTTTTTTTGCAGTTCAAAGAAAATGTATCTGAATGTTTTAGAAATTCTAATTCTAGTGGGGACAGTAACTGGACAAATGAAATTTTTGAAGTTATTTTAAAGGTATGCTTTTTAATTATTCTATTGTAACTTCAGTAACTGAATGGCATTTTTATTTTGTCTCAATGACCATAAATTAATGAGTAAATAGTGTTTTTTTTGTATTTTATTTAGGTGTTATGTGTTTGGGCTAATATTTGCCTGAGTCTAGAAGTTGGTACTTACTTGGCTTCTGAAGAACTTTTAATTTCACATTTACTGTCAGTTATTGGTAATGTATATTTCAATGTGTATGTAATAGTATGCAATTTTATTTTTTAATCAATATTTGAATATTAACCCCTGAACAATTGGTCAATTTTCAAGAAAACGGTCATAAAAGTGCCCATTTTTTTGGCTTTTGTATTTGTAATACGTATTTGATTAGTGCTGCAACTAGTTTAAAATAAACTAACTATATACAATTACCTTAAAAATATCCTGGTACTATCATCAGGTGTGTAAAATGAGAAATAAAATGTTTTCCGGGCAAAAGAAATGAATTAGTTTTATTCTTATTGGCGCATTACTACTGAACACTGCAGCCCGGCAATATCACGGGAGCGAGAAGAAAGGGGTTAACCAGTTACAAAGTAGTCGATTTGCGAATTAATTAGGGGAAAGCTAGAAATTGATTTAAAAGTCCTGCTTTGTGATTAATATGGATACTTGAATTTTGCCCTCTCTCCCTAAAAAAGATTTTTAATCTTAAATTTTTTAAGAAAATAAACAAGGTATTGTTTCCTACTTATTTTTAATGCTAAAATTAAGTTGATAGGACTAATAGTTCAGATATTGTAAGGGATATAGTAAATATAAAGTGTAAAGAAACCCAGTTTTTTATTATGCCTATTTTGTGATATAAAATACCAATCTAAGTAGATGAGACATTATTTTTAGTGTATTTTATTAATGCTGAATTTAATCAAACCAAAAGTTGATAAGACTAATAGTTCAAATGTTATTTAAGTTTTTATGTATAAAAAGTACAGTTTTGTACTTATACTTATTGATACTTCTGGCTGTCATAGAGACAAGCAAAGTATCGAATCCTATGTATAGTTTAAGTATAAGTGCAAAGATTGTTCTTCTTAAACATAAAGTTTTAATAACTTTTGATTTGATTTTTTAATATTCCCCCATTTTGCCTATCCTTAGTGTAAATTCAATTAAATTTCAGGTAACCGTTTTTCTGTTAGGAATTATTGTAGTCAAGTGAACATATAAATGAACAGTATATGTGTTAGTATTAAGATAAACCATTTTTTTGGAATCTAGTAAAAATTTAAATTCTTCTGTGTGCATTAAGTTTAAAGGAAGAAACACGTAAAAAAATGAATCTTGTAATTTTTTAGTTTATAGTTTAAAAATTGCGCTTTTTATATATATTTTTTTATCTCACCCACAATGCCAGATTAGGAATAATAAATCTAGAATTCATTGTCCCTGTGGACTTGTCAGATAGTTTTGTCGCTTACTTGGCAACATCCATATGTTTAGGTCCTGAAAAAAACATTTACTTAAGAAAAAATATGTTATATCATTAAATGAAAATATTACAAGTTTTTATTTAACAAATTCCTTATTTTTATAAACTGTGTTATTGTAATTAGTTTTAGGTTCGATGTAAAATTTGTAACATTAATTATTCAAGAAATTTTTGTTTCACATTTTCATTAATTTCTCTGTGTTAGCCTATGAACATACTTTTCTCATTTGTTAATTGACTAATTAATGTTTTGATTATTTTTTTTGTTTTATTTTATGTATTGAAATGTTTCTTGTTTAACAAAGTTTTTAAATTTTACTGTAATCTTTTTAAAAAAATTTATGAAATTATTATAATTTCTTTTTTGTCTGTAAAGGATCCTAGAAGTATAATTTCATTATTAAGTAGGAACATTTTTATTTACATAAAATAATTTTTTACTTTAACTGTAACTTAGTTTATAATATTTCAGGAGCCTACGCAGAAAAAGCCTCTGTATATGACACAAATTTTGCTTTATATTCATTCCTTGTTGTAATTGGCAACATTGCTTATTACTTACCTAGTTCATCAGATATCTGCACTTCAATTGCTGAGTGTAAGTTTTTTCTTGAATTCTTAACAAATTGATACATTAAATAGAATATCATAACCAAAAATTGGTCATGTGTTATTTTGATAAAAGTTTATTTGATTTGTTTTCAAAAGCTTTGAACTATTGCTTTCATACATTAGCAATATTATGAAAAAATATAGAAATCAATTTAATCTAACCTTGGTAATTCAGATAATTAATAATATTGAGTTGAACTTTCGCTTATTTTTTTTCTTTTCAACTAGCTTTTGTTCTTGTTTCATGTTATATGAATGATGAGTTTTTCTAAACATAGTCCTGTCTTTACACATCGGTATACTCATGCAGGGGGCCCTTTAAAATTTTATATTCTGCAAATTGTGAACTATCTCATATGTTAATTTTAAATAAAAATCTTATAATTTTATTTAAATAAATATATTCCACAAGTAAAGGCTATTAAATTTTTCCTTTCCATAAACAGTTGAATTTAAACTGCACCACATTGGAGTAATCTCCTACAGAATTTAAAAGATGCTTAAAGTCATAGAACTAAAAATATTTTTTTAAGTTGTTTTTGGTACAAGGAGAAGGGGGCTGATACAGGGGTGTTTTTTCTTGCATTCTATTTGCACAAAATAATACAGAAAGAAAAAAAAATTCTAAAATATATTGGATTTTGTTGATGTTTTATTTGAAAACAAGCAAGATGGCATAGATATTCTTACACACGTGAACACTAGGGTCACAATTGTGGTCATTGTGAGTTATTAGTAGAGTTCTCCAGGATCAAACTTGTATTACTTCAAGAGGAAGGAAGCTCTCTGAAATTCTTTAGGATTTAATGGGAAACATTGCAAAGTACATAACTATAAATTTGCAAGATTTCTATCTTTACATTTGATGACTGACTGTCCCTTACAAATCACTTGTCATACTTAGATTCTAGTAATATGTTGTACTTTAAATATGAAGAATCTACTGCAGTTTAAAATTTTAAACTAATATTTTTATTTGGATAATATAATAATATTTTGTAAAACTCCTTTTGTACTACATTTTATAATTTTTTGTTTTTATATTTTTAATTTTTATATTTTTAATTTTATTCTTAACTTTTATTTTAAAATAATTAATAAAAACTTATGTTACTGATTTGGTTTTCTACTTAAATTTTTTATGTGTTAATTTTTTTATAGGTGTGATAACACTTCTCGATTCTTCTTTCTCCCATGAAGTTCAATTAGAATCTGCCAACATCATTCGAAATTTAACAAGACACCAAGAAGTACGCAAGTTTATTCAAGACAATTCACGTGAGCATTAGTTATAGTTTTTTACTAGTATTAAAATTGTTTTTGCTCATTATTTACTGATTATTTAAATAAATGTATCTTAAAAATAGGTCACATTCATCAAAAACCTATTTTTAACGATCTGTATTTATCAATTCATTTATATGTATATTTATTTAAAAGGTATTGTTTTGTTACTATGAAAGTATTTATTGCATCTGTACTTCAAGTATTACTTTAATTTATTTGTTTTTATAAGAATAGAAGAAAAGAGTTTCATCAAAATATTTTATATAATTTATTTTTAACACAATTGATAAACAGATTTCTTTCTAAAGAGTAATTCTTAAGTGACAAAATGAATTTTGAGAAAAGGAAAGTGAAATTGCCTATTGTTATTTCAAGCTCTACAATTTTAAATTATTGTAATCTTTTCATTAAAAGTAGTTAAATTTCATTAAATAATATTGTTTGTTTAAAAATATTTGAATTAGATTTTATGCCTAAGGAACTAATTTTGAGAATTGAATTTTGATTTTACAATGAAACTAAAAATCAGAATGTTTAAATTTTTGAAGATTTTTGTAACAAAGTGTTCCAAAATAATTTAATATAAAAAACTAAGTTTTATGAAAAGCATTTGTTTGAGTAACAAATGTTCTATGTTAGAAAGTAATAAAAATATAGATAATTCATCTACTTCTGAATTATTTAATTATTTTAGTCTTTTAAAATACTGTTTTTAAATATACTATGGCTTGAACATATTATACCTGAGAAAATGATAGTTTGAAGAATAGTTAAACTAAAAATTGTTAATATATTTTTAAAAATTGTTAACTTTTGACCCTTAAAAGTATTAAAAGTACTTAAAATTATGCTGCTATATTTAGCAGCCATTTTGGTTTTTTGGAACAAAAAACTAAATTGTTTTTTTTCTCCATAATAGATGTATACAATATTTGATTGTATACATCCTTTTTGAAAAATTTATTCATTCTCAGCCTGAAACATATAATAATTTTACTATTGTAAAATGTTTAAATTTTATTATTGAAATACATTTTAGTAAAATATATTTAATTAAGTATATTTAATTTAAAGTATTAATAATTTAAAGTATACTAAAATGAGATACATTTTAATTGTATTAATAACATTTTTACTTATTATATATGCTAATTTTTTAATGACCTTCAGTAAATAAAGTATGTATAAAAACAGGTTTTTATGTCTATACGTTTTATGATATTTTAATATATAAATGCCTAGTTTTAATATCAACACTCTTTTTCATGTAAAGTACTGAAATATAATATTTCTTCTAGTATTTCCTGAATTCATGAAACTACTCAATGCAAGTGATAAAGAATTTAAAACAGCTGCATATGGAATTATTATGAACCTTTTAATTGATCAAAGTACACATCAAATGTTTTATCAAGAACAAGGTATAACCAGGTACAGCATTTTTTTCATTGATTCTTGAATTAAGATAAAAAGTATTATGTATTCCATTCAAGCTTTGGTTCAATGTTTCCTAAAATGCAGGCTCTATCGTAAAGGTCCATTTTTCCGTTTTTGTATTAAGAATTGTCACAATTATATTTCTGTTGAAATATTTTTCTTTTATTTACTAATTTTTTTTAAAATTAAGAGTTTCTTGTTTAACCGATTCAACGTTGCACCCTCTTTCAAAAAATGAACTAAAAGTGTTCCTTTTTCCAACAAAGATACTAACACTTTTAGCACCAGCTATTCTTCTTTCTAGACTGTGAGTGTATCAGTCATAATGCTTTCGGTCAAGTTTACTGGTAAAGAGATCTAAATCTTATTCTAGTTTATGTGACATACTTTGTTCATAACACTTTTTGTCTAGTTTATGGGTTAAAAGATGTTCTTCATGGCATTTCTGCACTAAATCTAGCGCAGAAACGCCATAAGACCACCATAATGTGACCAGATATACTTTTTATAACGTTTTTCGGTAAATTTTTAAACTATGTCATAACAATGTAAGAAAACTCTCAGGCAAAGATACACAGAAATTCTATTACATAAGAACTTTGGTGTCCTTTGAAGCTAATCACATCTGGGAGTTTTAGTTAAAAAACGACAAAAATAAAATGATAAAATTATAATAAAGGATGATTTAGGAAAAATGAATACTTGTAAGTCCTTTTACTTTTAGGTCAGTTTTCAAATGTTTTTTTAAAATTTTATTTTAAGGGTTCTATGCTTTTGCAACTTATGCATAATTTGCAAAACTTAATCTTAAATTCTTGCATTTTTTTGAAATGTTCTCTTTCCTTTTTGTATCCTTCTCTCTCTTTATATATATATACGAAGAATAATAAAAAAATAAAATAAAATAGAGAAACTTTTAATGGGAAAACGTAAAGGTTCTTTATCAGGACGCATCCTTTATGATAAATGTGATATTTCTAAATACCAGCGGGTGACCGAGCTCCGCTCGGAGAAAACAGGTATCGAAGCTAACTCGAAGATTTAAATTTTCAATTGTGATTTATCAAAACAATACATGCAGTAAGAAAATTTGTGAAACCATTGGTGAAAAGATAACCGGTTAAAGTGCACCATTGTAAACTATCTAAACAAAGTTAGAGTTTGGAAAGGGAACTATTCTATACAAAGGTAAAGTTTGAAAAGTCATAGGAAACAAAATGTAATTGATAACAAAAAATTATACAATTAGAGACACTGTTCACAACGAATTCGTAAATTTGCTTCCGTTCATCCGCTTCTTGAAAATTCTTGTCCAGGAAAAGGCGTCGAGGAGAGAGGTATTGTCGAGCATAAAAGAC